CCCCCCCCCCCCCCCCCGCCTTTGGACTACAAATAATTATTCTTTGTGAACAGTTAATCCTAGGGAAATTGTGCCATGTGCTAAATAACTAGAGTTGTAAAAAAACTAAAGTTCTACATAAAAAGCATATATGTTACAACCATAACTCCAATTTACTGCTTTTTTTTTTAAAAAAAGATACCTATTCAAAAGTATTAGAAATCTTAATCTCTTCATACTGTTCCCATTCATGAAATTTGAAATTGTCTAACTGGAATGGAGTGATTAAACTGCATCCTCTGAAATGCAACAGATTTATATTGCCAGTTCAATATATAGTAGTACTTCAGTTGCTGCAAAAAGTGCATTAGGTTTCTTAATAAGAAAAACTGAGTTTCCCAGGAGCCTTGGACTGTGAAAACTTAAAATACAACTTTCACAGTAAGTGTTCTTAAATAAAAAATTTAGATTACTAAATTTCAAAGAATTTGCAGAATAACCTTTAGATTAATTATGTTGAATTATTATTATTAAATTTATCAAACACATCTGGATCCAAAGAGGACCTCTTAAGGAGGGTTAATTTGAAGAAATTACTCTTTCTATAACTAGAAATATAAGCTTCAGAAAAACTAGCAGGGATCCTTGTACGTGGGGGTGGGGGGAATATTAAGTTCTGATAGAGAGAGAAGCGTGTCCCAAAGCATACCTTAGTTCTGTTTAGTTCTCTTGTGGGCTTTGAATGGTTGGCACTAGTGAGCATAATGGTAGACAGATTCATATTTTAGAGAAACTAGAAATTAGTGCAACATTAGGGATGGATGCATCAATCTACTTCCAGTCCATGTCAATTTTGCAAGTAATCATTCATTAGTCAATTCCGACTGGAGTGGCATATAAACCCTGCAAAGCAAATAAACATGTCTGTCCCAATAACTCAGTCCTTTGCTTAAAAAGCAAACCAACCCTGAAATATATATGTTTGTGTGTGTGTGTGTTATTTTGAACATGTTTCTCATAAAATATAAATGGCTGAACATAAAGGGTCTAAAACTATAACATAACTAAATACATTTAGTTTATCATATATTATTTATTTAATTGGAACTTATATGCAACTTGCAAACCAATAGGACTCTGAGCAGCATTTATTTATTAGTGTACTTTACTGAGTAACATTTGGAAACAGGAGAATATTCTAATTCACGGTTTCATTTGGGAAGTATAGATGAGGTCAATTTGCAGTAGAATTTGCAAAGTTCAAATTCCTAACAAAACTGTACAGTATTATTTATTGGTCAGTGGTCAGTTCTATTTGGCTTCTTTCATGAGGTTATGGGGAAATAGCTTCACAGGGAAAGCAAAGGTCCTATCAATAGCACCAATGCATACTGGGCCTTCAGTGAAAACTTCCTCTTGTCTTGGGAGACTGGAGGATGGAGCAAATTTTATTTATGGATCTCTCAAGCAAGCTGGTAAGGTTGTCATATATAAAAATAACCCTATGAATTCCTGACATTTTAGGCATTTCTCTTAATAATAGCACACCTTCACAACTAGCCAGAAAGAAATTGGAGGAAAGAATCACACAAGTATAAGTGCATATTTATAGGTTTTATATAATTTGCTGATTGATTATTTAACTTGGTATAGCACTGACCACTAGTTGCTGCCAGTGGTTTATGATAAAAAAAATTAAAATTAAAAATAGTGAGCACATCAAATAAATAAAAGAAACACATATAAATAGTTAAAATAGGCCATCAAATCAACAGTTGAAAGCCCATTCCAAAAGACATATGTTATGACCCTTAAAAAAAAAAAACTAATAAAGATGTTAGGCCCATCCGCACTGCAGGAAATATATAACAGAAAAGGTTCAGCACCAAGTTGTCCTCAGACCAGCTCTCAGGAACTGTAGACAAACTTCATCAATGAGCAGGGTCCGTAGAGAAAGAAGTAGTCTCTGAAATACCATGAACCTAAGCCATGTAAGGCTTTAAAGTAATGACTGTTATTTTCTATTTTGTCCAGAAGCAACTTGGTAACCAGTACAGTGTTTAAGCACAAATGTAGCAGATCCTGCATTGAGTAGGGGGTTGGACTAGATAACCTATAGGTTCTTTTCAACGCTATGTTTCAGTGTACTATGACGCCTTTGCTTTCTTCCTAAAACTAGCCAGGCTGTTAATTTTCTACCAACTGAAGATTTAAGACTAGACAGAAATACAGCCTGTGTAGAAAACATCCCATGTACGGCACTTAAACTTGGAGTTTAACAGCATGTGCACCACCATTTTAAGGATAGTTTCTTCTAGAAAAGGATGCAACTGGCATATCAGTCAAAGCTGATAAAAGATACTCCTGGATGATGCCTGGGAAATTACACAGACATTGAGAAGAACCCCTGAACCTACTCCTTCTGGAAGAAAGCAATCTCATTTAGAGCAGGCAGACCTGCTTTGCTTCTCTGGTATTTCTTGGTGCAGCATTTGCTTTGTTCTTCTGGCTCTTACCCAAGAGCAGCCCCAATGATGTGTATACTAGCTGCCCCAGGCTTTACTCAGGCCATAGTCCCACCCCATACTCACCCTTGCCCCATACCCCAAAATTGCTCCCCCAAAAGGATAATCACAGAAAAAGACTAGTTGGCTGATCCTGGAAGATGTGTTTGGTTTAAGGAGTTGCAGACCCATACCCCCATATGCTCCAAAGGACTTTTTTTGCCTTCAGATGTAAAGCACTGTTGTTTAGTCGTTAAGTCGTGTCCGACTCTTCGTGACCCCATGAACCATATTGCGCCAGGCCTTCCTGTCCT